CATTTGTAGACATGCTGATAGAATTACTAAGATACAGATGTAGTTAAAAGCATTGCTAATTTAACCCTGGTTCTTTTATTTTGAACACTGAGCACAGTTGCTGGGGTGACAAAGTATAGTGCTGCGTCCAAGGCTCTGCTGATTCAGATGTCATGTGAACACACAGTGGGGCATGCTGGGAAGTGGGCCCCAGCCATGCAGACTACTTGGAGGGCCTCTCTCCTATTAGTTACATGAAAAGCCAGCTCTGCCAAAATCAGTTTTTATTTTTATTTTCATAGAGCATACTGTCTTTAGTGGCTTTGTCTACCGATAAATAGTCGTGTATTTTTCTGTAGGGGACCTTTCTTTTGGTGGGAGAAAATTCTGTTTTCCTTTCTCAGGAAATTGTCCTGTATTCCTGTTACGGGGCACTTTTGTGAACCTGAGTTCCTATTGTACTTTCACATGTGAGGGGGTAAGGCATCTATGGACACCATATGTCTGGGTGTGTGAACTCACCACTTCTTTGAATTTCCAGATGCAATTTTGTTTTCCTATGCTGTCAGTTACTTTGTCATCAGACAAAGCATTGAAAACATTCCACATCAGTATAAATTCAGATGTATGTTGTGATTAGGAATGGACACAGATTCCAACATATGTAATGCAAGTAGCACCCTGTATGGAAGTTTAATTTGGCTTTAGTTATTTGAGAGAGAGCTGCCTTCTGCTAGCTCTCTCAAAAGCTTACTTGCAACAGCTTAGTTTGGGCCAGACAGAAGCCAGGAGCCAGGAAATTCCATCTGGGTGTGCCAGAGGAGCAGCAAGGACCAACCACTTGAGTGATCACCTGCCAGCTCCCAGGGTGTGCATGACCAGGAAGCTAGAATTGGAGCAGCGCTGGGACTGAAACCCAGGTGTTCCAGTAAAGGGTGTGGGTGTCTCAGCTCCAAGCCACATGCATGTCCCCACCTTTCACATTGTAATCAGTGCTGTGGTCGGCCGTCTTAATGGATCTTTGTCTACTTGTCTGATTATATCTTCAGAGTAAACTCTAAGCAGTAGAATTATGGATCCAGATTTTAAGGCTTGTGATACCTCTTGCTGAATTGACCTCAAGAAAAGTTTTATCCATCCATGTTCCACATAATACTTTGTATGCATATGAGTTCAATTTAGTAGCTATTAGAGTTAATAAAAAGCTATAGAAGAGTAAATATGTATTTAAAGATGTAAACCATGTGTTAAAGATCTGGTTCTCCACATCCTGCCCCATACTGTATATTAAAATTAATAATTACCATTTATATTTTTCCCAACTTCAGTTTAGAAAAACAAATTTCAGAGAGGTTGGAGCTGCGGTACAGTGAGCACTGCATTGCTCCTTATCCAGATTTCCCAATGCTTTTTTTTTTAAATCTGAATTGTTTGTAAGTAAAATAATTTATTCATAATTTGGCATGTTCTTTGGGCCTCAGCTCTAACTCTAGTCATCTTTTGGATACTTGGGGTTACTTACACGTGTATCACAGTCTGCTTGGTCTGCAACTTGGGGCGAAGTAGAAACTGTTTAATGGCACCCTGTAGTTACTCTGGTTGGTATTTAAGCCAGTCTGTGTACTGTTTTGATGAAAATAAATAGTAGCAAAATATGAATTTTGAATGTGTGAGGAAAACTATAAAGAAATTGCTTCTAACATGATTCAAATGTTTCATCCAGATTTACCTGTGCCCAATGAGAAAAATGATGCAGAACTTGATTCTCCACCTGCAAAGAAAAAAAGAATAGGTGTTTTCCAGACTTATGATGCAGAATATTTAAAAGTTGGCTTTATTATCTGTCCTGGCTCAACAGAAAGTTTACCGCGGCCTCAGTGTGTCATCTGCGGTGAGATCCTGCCCAGTGAAAGCTTGAAGCCAGCCAGTCTTCTTCATCATCTGAAGACAAAGCATTCGGAACTGCAAAACAAACCAGTAGATTTTTTTGAACAAAAATCTCTTGAAATGGAATGTCCAAACAGTTCTCTTAAAACATGTTTACTAGTTGAAAAGTCACTGGTGAAAGCTTCTTACTTAGTTGCTTTCCAAATTGCTGCCAGCAAGAAGCCATTGTCCACTGTTGAAGATTTCATTAAACCGTATTTAGTAGAAACGTGTTCGGAGGTTTTGGGTTCAAGTGCTGGGGACAAGATGAAGACCATTCCTCTTTCTCATAGTGCCGTCAGACACAGGATTCAGGAGCTGTCTGCCGACATCGAAGAGCAGCTCATCCAGAAAGTCCGAGAGTCCGGGTGGTTCGCCCTCCAGCTGGACGAGTCGGCAGAGGTCTCGGATGCCACCCTTCTTCTGTGCTATGTTCGTTTCATTGATTATGACTGTAAAGATATAAAAGAAGAATTACTATTTTGCCTTGAAATGCCTTCTCCAATGAGGGACTCTGAAATGTTTGCACTAATAAATGGGTATATCAGTAGTAAATCCCTGAACTGGAAGCACTGTGTCGGGCTCTGTCTGGACGGGGTGGCAAGCATGACTGACAGGTGTTCTGCTTTAAGGGCCAAAATTCAAGAAGTTGCCTTAAACCCAGTGGCGTTTACTCCTTGTCTTATTCATCGGGAGCATCTGGCTGCAGAAAAGTTGTCCCCAGGCCTGCACAAAACCCTTTTGCAGTCAGCGCAGATTATAAGCTTTGTAAAGAGCAATGCATCGAACTCACGCATGTTAATGATTTTGTGTGAAGAGATGGGGTCCCAGCATGTGAATTTACCACTCCCTGCTGAAGTACGCTGGATAGCAAGAGGGAAAATTTTAACAAGATTATTTGAGTTACGACATGAAGTTGAAATATTTTTAAACCAGAAGCATTCAGAGTTAGCCAGGCATTTTCGTGATGAGGAATGGGTTGCGAAGCTGGCCTATTTGGCCGATATATTTTCACTTATAAATGAATTAAATTTGAGTCTGCAGGGAACTATGACTACTTTCTTCAATTTGTATAATAAAATCGATGCGTTTAAGAAAAAATTAAAAACATGGCTGGGGCGCACACAGGAGAACGATTATGACATGTTCCCTGCATTTTCGGAGTTCTGGAGTTCATCAGACTTGCACAGCAGCAGCATCAGAGACATCATTTTGGAGCACCTGGAAGGACTTGGTCAGGTGCTCGAGGCCTGTTACCCCACGGCAGAAGATGTTCGCGCAGGCAACTGGTGGATCATGAACCCTTTCACAAGCCACCAGCACAGTCACCTGAGCAGCAGGGAAGGAGAAGGGCTCACCCAGTTATCGTCTGATTCAGGACTACAGTCAGTGTTTAAGTCTATGCCTGTCACTCAGTTTTGGATAAATGCAAAGACAAGCTACCCAGAACTGCACGAAAAGGCGATGAAGTTTTTGTTGCCTTTTTCCACTGTGTATTTATGTGATGCTACCTTTTCAGCTTTGACTGAGTCAAAACAAAGAAATCTGTTGGCTTCTGGCCCTGCCCTGAGACTGGCAGTCACATCTTTAATTCCAAGAATAGAGAAATTAGTAAAAGACAAAGAATAGCAACATGCATATTTGCTTATTATCAAAGTCTATAATTTTGTGTTAAATTTTGTATAAGTATCCTAAAATATAATTTCCTAATGTGGACTTGTGTTTTCAGTGATTAAAGAAGTGTTTTAGTAACTTTTTCCTTGCTTTAGTAATTGTTTATTGATGCATCATTGCATGTCCCTGTCCTGAGTGCAGGTCATGGAGGACTTGGGTTTTAGAGCACAGGAAAGGCTCGCCGGCAGGTGAAGCAGCTTGGGGCTTAGAGGCACAGGGCACCTTGCAGTCTTGGGCTACTGCAAAGCAAAGCCTCAGCAGCAGGGGGAGTTGGACATCCTTGCTTTGGGTGGCTCACACACGGCTGGACAAGCTGTTCCCTTAGAGGTCCATGGAGTAGCCACACTAGCAAGTACTCAATTCAACACAGCCATGGCCAGTCCCCAGACAAGTGTGGCTGTTTCAACCCAACTTTGTTTAGGAGTGATGACATACCAATTTCATGTCATTTTCATGTGTCATAGAAACCTCCTTTTTTTTTATTATTATTTTTTTATTGGAAAGGCGGATATACAGAGAGGAGAGACAGAGAGGAAGATCTTCCGTCCGATGATTCACTCCCCAAGTGAGCGCAACGGCCAATACTATGCCGATCCGATGCCAGGAGCCTCTTCCGGGTCTCCCACGTGGATGCAGGGTCCCAAAGCTTTGGGCCGTCCTCAACTGCTTTCCCGGGCCACAGGCAGGGAGCTGGAAGGGAAGTGGGGCTGCTGGGATTAGAACCGGCACCCACATGGGATCCCGGGCGTGCAAGGTGAGGACCTTAACCACTTGCGCCACCGCGCCGGGCCCAGAAACCTCCTTTTTATAATAAAAAATGTAAACAAACAGTATGAGCCTGGAAACAGGGAGAAGAGGAAACAAAACAGCTGGCTGCGTTTGGTCCTCCCAGCCTTGAGGGATGTCTGCTTAAGGGCAGGTAGGTTTGCGACTCTTGGCCAAAGTCCCTACCCACCCCCACCCCCGCCCCCGCTGGTGTCCCAATCTCCAACCGCCTTCCACAGTTTGATTCAGAAACTACAGAAGGAAAGGTACTTCCCGGGTGGACGTAAAGAACAACTAACTACTGGGTCCTGACTTTACCAATAACCGTATAAGACAATTTGCTAACGTAGAAGTAACTTTCTAAGCTTGTGACAGCCTTGGGAGAATTGTTCAGGCCTCCTTGTCCCATTTGCGGATGCAGACACGGAGCTTTCCCCGAGCCCTGGGAGCAGGGGCAGAGGCCCCCTTTGTGCGCACAGCCATGTGGCTACCTGAACTCTCAGGGGGCGGTGACTCCTGCAGGGAGAGGGGAGGAGGCCGCGGCCCAGCCTTCCGGTAATCCTGGGGAGGGAGGAGACGAGGGGGCGGGTTCTCGACCGGCCCGGCCCTCGGGCGACGGGCGACGGAACGCCAAGTCCTGGAGTCCGGGCGCGGCCATGGCGCTGTCGCTGGCCGCGCTGCGCATCCTGCTGGGCACTTTCTTCGCGCTCACGGGAGCGGCCAAGCTCTCGCCGATCGCGGCCCCTGTGTCGCAACAGATGGTGAGCGGCGTGCGGCCCAGGGGTGAGAGCTCAGCCTGGCCTTGAGGCCAAAGCGCGCTGGGGCGGTAAAGTTGCCTGCTTGGCGCTGAGGTCTGGGGCCACCTCCGGGTTGGGGATCTTCCTGGCCGAAGGGGGCGGAACCTCACTTTCCGGTGGGTCTGGGTGGTCTCTGGCACGGATAGAGACGGAAGATGAATCCGCCTTGGAGGAGACACGGGTCGCTCCTCGCCCTCCTGCTCTTCTCGGCAGGGGCCGGTGCAGTTCTGGGAAGGTCGGCGAGGCAGGTGAAGCGCGCCGGCTAAAGACGCCACAGCTGGCCAGAAAGTGGGACCCAAACCAACACCTGCCCCGCTCAGAATCCAGAGTCCTTTTGGTGAAGCTTGGAGGCCACCTGACGGCCTCATCCAGCCCCTCCAGGATGCCAGTCCCCCCTCGTTTATCTCCCTGCCTAGAGCCTGAGGTCAGAGAGCTACTTCCCTGCAGGGCTTCAGAGAGGAGGCACAGCTAAGGCCAGGTAGCCCCGGCAGGTCAAGGGGAGGTGGTCATGTGACCTGGGTGTAGGGGCTGGCTAAGCTAGCTGAGTCACTTCGAGGCCCCTGTGCCTCGAAGTGACTCAGTCTTGTGCCTGCTGCAGTGGGATCCATTTAATGCTGTCCTTCCGGAGACTTTGGCATTAGATGGGAAGACCCTGCTACTTGCTTTTGGGATTTGGGGCTGGGATGTAATCTGCTTATTGTGGGGTGTGCTGAATGGGCCCCCTCTTTGCATCACCTCTTGGTCTTGACTGGGAGCAGAGAGCCTGGTTCCTTCCTCAGTGCAGTTCAGCTCTTCTGCAGGGTGACTTGAGGCCACCATTGCTGTGTGTGTTAGTTGGGAGTGGATGGTGCAGGCTCAGTGCCCTTGTGTGGCATCTGGGCTGTGCACCCAGCTGAGTAAGGCTGACGGCCATTTCTTGCCACCCTTAGCGAGCCCTGTTCGTGCGCTTCGCCGAGGTGTTCCCATTGAGGGTGTTCGGCTACCAGCCAGACCCTGTGAGCTACCAGACAGCAGTGGGCTGGCTGGAGCTGCTGGCAGGCTCGCTGCTGCTCGTGGGCCCACCGCTGCTGCGACACATCAGTACCATGTTCCTGATTTCACTCATGATGGGTAAGGGGGCCAACTGACCTGGGGCAAGGGGCCGTATGGGCAAGAGCTGACCCTTCCCATTCCTCTGGCTGCCCTCCTCTTTGCTCGGGAAACAGGGGCACTTCCTGCTGTCTCAGTTCCCATAGCCCTGGGACTAGGACAGTGCCTTGTAGACTTCATGTGTCAGGATGCTGTTCCATGCCAAGGACACCTTCTATCTCTTTCCTTCTGGTGGTTACATAGTATTGTGTTGTGTGCAGGGGGTATGTCCCCAGAGCTCCAACTCTGAGCTGGAGGGTTGGAACAGCCATCTAGGTGTCTGGCAGGTGGACACAGAGAGTAGGGAGGCTGGGGCCCCCTAAAGAGGAAGGTGGACACTTAGTTTCCCTCCAGGGGTCCCTCCCAGTGGCTCTGGCCACAAGGACAGCTGCTGCCTTAAAGGCCAGACATCTTCAGGTTCTTCTGTGTTGCCTGGCCTGTCGCTATTGCTATCACCATCAGCACCCCTACCTTGCTTTTCAGCTCAGGAACCTTCTTCTTTTCCAGTCTTTGCCATGCCCTCTCCACTGCCAACCCCGAGCCTCTTTCCAGAAAGTAGAGGATTAGGAAAGGAGAATATGGAGAGTCCCCCGTTGCCAGCCTTGGCCCCTTGTCCTGTTTGGCAATGTTGCTTCCAGTTCTGAGCTTCTGACTCCTACTGTTGCTTTCTCTGGGAGGCGGGAGCTGAGTGCAGCTGGTTTGGGGTATGTGTGTTAGGAGAGGTTTGGAGAGGGTTGGTCAGCTCGGGCTTCAGAGTCAGGAGCTCCTGGGGGGAGCTTAATAATCTCCCTTTCTATTCCAGGGGCCATTTTCACTTTGGTGTTTCTGAGAGAATCCCTGAGCACCTACATCCCGGCTATCGTCTGCCTGTGGCTCCTGCTGCTGCTGGATGTGTGCCAGCTCTTAGCCCAAACTGAGAAGGTGGCCAGACCCCGCAGGAGGAGGAAGACGACACCGCGCGTGCTCAAGGAATCCTGAGAGTAGATTCCCTACCAGGTGGTGCCATGCTGGTCTTACTGCATGGGCATGGGGGACAGAAATGACCTTCATGCTGCAGATACACCCAGCACCACTGGTGTGGAAAGAGACAACTTGTCTACCTGGCTCTGTACTGCTGCTCTCTTTAACGGCAGTATGTATGTAACATGTATGTATGGAATACATGTGACATATACTGAAACATCCCTCATGTCATGTGAAAATAAGAGACAGGCACCCCAAATTCTGTAGCCCCTGCATAACCACTTCTGATGCCTCGGTTTAAGCTGTACCTTTCAACTTTTTTTCTATGCTTTTTTTATACAGATACGTATTTTTTTAAGGAAAGTGAGACTATTACCTCCCACCTTATTACCCAATTTTGAAAACCTAATACACCTTGAATTCCATGTGGTGTCATTGTGTCTCATTATTGTGAATGGCTACATGGAATTCCCATGGGAAGGATGTCCTGCCAGCTCCCTGGGAAGACTATGTGGGTGGCTCCGAAGTCTTGCAATTATAAACCTCATGTTAAGTCACCTTTGCATTCTTTCTTTGCATGGAAGTGAAGGTGCCAGCTCCAGAGGCATGCCTGCTTTTGAGGTTTTCTATACATAGTTAAAATGTCTATATTGTATATGGCAGAATTTGGGCACCTGCTTTGGCCTGAGCCCTTCCAGGCCAGACAAGGGCATCATCGCTCACACTTTAGATTTGCAGAGTTATCAAGGATGGGCATTGAGTCATTTCCAATCCCAAACCCTCTGGTGGTGAGGTGGGGCTCCCAGTCTGTTATTCCTTCTCCCCCTCCAGATACATGAGACAGCAGGACCTGACGCTGGGAAGAATCCCAGAGGCCTCTAGCAGTGAGGAGGGTGTGTATGTGGGGGGTGGGTGTAGATGGACAACATGTTAGGGTACTGATTCTGAAGTCCCCAACAGTCTTCACCTTAGCCTCTTCGGGGAAGGGAATGTGCCTCCCAAGAGGAAAAACTGAAGAGCTAGAGCTCATGTACCACCTAGGGAGTGATTCTAGCCACCAGCCTACAAGGTGCTTGGAAGGTAGGAGAGTTGGCATCGGGGAGCCCCCGGAGGGTGGTGACTCCTGCTGTGGCACTGAGTCTGTGCACCTTGGGCAAGCCGACACTCTTAGTTAGATCTTTTCTTCTTGTGTCTGAAAGTGGTGATGCAGTCTGCAGGAAAACATGGCTCTCTGGATAGAACGTAAGTACACGGGGCCAGGTCCAAACAGGAAGGATGTTTCTTGGGCACAGAAGTCCGAGACAGCATGGCTTCAGTGTTGGCTTAAGGATGGCAACAAGAGCCAGCAGTCTCTCAGCCTCCAGCTCTGCTGCGTTCACTGCATTTGCGACTCTCCCCGGAGAGTCTGTACCATACTGCACATTGGTGTCCGACATCCAAAGGCACAGCAGAGTGCCCTGTGGACACCTTCAGTTTCTTTCACCTCTCATTGGCCAGAATCATGTTGCGTTTCTACCCATGGACCAATCATTGGCAAGGAAAATGGCATTCCCATCACCAACTTAAATTAGTTGAGAATTACTGCTCACTGGTTAACAAAGACAGGAGTGTGTAGATGATGGTTTCTGCTTATTTGCAAAATAAGGGTAATAGCAAATATTTCACAGCTGGGCATGGAGTAATAGCTCAGTAAAGAATGGGTATTATTAAATATTGGTTTGTTCTAGAGGTTGAAGAAATAGATTTGGAAGGCCTGAATGTCTGTGTCAGACCTAGATTCAGAGCTAAGGCCTGACTGATTGCAGAACCCATACTTGTCCCTGTATGTGCTACTGGAACTGCAAGTGGGCAGGTGTGGCACCTGGGGTTGTCCGTCCAGCCTGGTTAAATCTGCCTTGCTTTCCAGAACTACTCCCTCTGCGTGGATATTGGGGAGTCAATGCAAGTAAGTAGAGCTTGGCACCCCCAGGATCCTGGTGTGTACTTTCTTCACTACTCCCAGGATGCCACAGCCAGCCGGTCTCCAGCCGAGATTTTGAGTAAAACCTCCAACAGCTGGCATAGGTTTGAGGGCTCTAAGGCCTGTGGGCTGCTAAGCAGCTCTCAGACTCCTATCTCCAAACTTGACAGTCAAATGACAGGAAATATGGGCACGGCAGGAGTGGGCTGGCCACTGGATGTGGGGCAGCGGTTGGGACTGACAGCAGTAACAGTACCTGGGGGCCCCCGGGGGAAGCCAGCATCCCTGGCAACCACAGCCTAAATGCAATCAGCTTGGTGCCATGCCATTCAGCAGCCAGCCTCCTCTCTTCTGTTTGGAAGATTTCTGCCCTGTCACCACAGGCCCTGCGCATACTCCAGAAAGGCAAGGTGGCCCCAGCCCCTCCAGCAGGTGGGCCCGTTACTGCTGGGTCCATTGGTGGGAGGGTCTAGAATGTGAGTGGGAAGGGATTTTGCTGGCCCACTTTCCTACCGCCAGGACCCCAGAGAGAGCTCCAGCAGCCAGCACAGGCAGAGGGAAGAGAGGAACCACCTGGAAGGATGGAAGGTTCAGAGTTGGGGTCACTCAGGATTCCAGAAGGTACTCAGGCAGAAAGTCAGATACTGGTAATGAAGGATATCCTGGGGGTGTCTGTGTGGCTTGTACGAGGCCCCCAACCCAGCCCCACCCTTGGGGAGAAAGGAATATGGCTAGATGTTTTTGTGTTGTTCTGTTTGTGCCTCTAGCACAGAGCGCATGCGTGTGTGCTTGTGTGGGTGTACACATTTATCTGTGCACTGCCCAGGAGGGAAGGCGGCTAACAGCCATGAGCCATCTCCCCAGTGTCAGCCACAGGGCTCCGAGTGTTACTTATGTTTTCTCATAATCCTCGCACAGCCCTTGGGAGGTAGGTATTTTACAGCAGCCAAGACAGGCTCTGGGAAGCTGAGTAATTTGCCCAGGGACACATGGCAAATCAATGTGTGGAGCTAGAAACAGTCGGCTTTCCGGGCCTGCGCTTTCTGCTTGGCTGCCCCAAGTTTGGAGCCTGACTCAGGACTTCTTTGTGGGCAAAAGGTGAGGAAGGAGGCTGACGTTGTGGTGGAGCAGGTTCAATCTTGGCGCTTGCAGCTGTGGACCACTGAGACCATCTGTGGCAAGGAGGTAGAACGTTCTTTGTAACTTGGGTTTGAATACAAATAACACGTGCATATTTTTTCACTCCTTTGGGTAAGCTTTGTGCTCCTTAATGGGATCAACAAGGCCCTGGCTGGTTTGGGTCCTGCTACCCTGGTGACTTCCCCCTCTGTCGCCTCTGTGTGTCTCTGGGCGTCCGCTGCCTTCCTGAGTCCCAGGAATAGGCCAGGTTCTTTCCCATCAAGCCTTGCACCTGCCACTTCCTTGGGATGCCTGTATCTCACTCTGCAGTGTTTGGCAACAGGCCCAGCTGCTCCACTTCTAATGCAGTTTCCTGCCAATGCACCCTGGGAGGCAGCAGCTACGGCCCCTGCCACCCACATGAGAGGTCCAGAAGGAGTTCTGGCTCTTGGCTTCAGCCTGCCCCAAACCTGAACTGTTGCCAGCATGTAAGGGACTGAACCAGCGAATGGAAGATTTCTGTCTCTTTCTCTCTCTGTTGCTCTACCTTTCAAAATAAGATAAGATGGGCCTGGCACAGTAGCCTAGTGGTTAAGGTCCTTGCCGTGCAAGCACTAGGATCCCATATGAGTGCTGGTTCTAATCCCAACAGTCCTGCTTCCCATCCAGCTCCCTGCTTGTGGCCTGGGAAGCAGTCGAGGACAACCCAAAGCCTTGGGACCCTGCACCCGTGTGGGAGACCCGGAAGAATCCCCAGGCTCCTGGCTTCGGATCGGCTCATCTCCAACCATGGTGGCCGCTTGGGGGAGTGAATTAGTGGACGGAAGATCTTCCTCTCTGTCTCTGCTCCTCTCTGTATATCCGTCTTTCCAATAAAAATAAATAAATCTTTCAAAGAAAAGTAAGATAAGGGGCACAGCGCAATGGTGTAGTGGTTAAGGTCCTCGCCTTGCATGCGCCGAGATCCCATATGGGCACCGGTTCTAATCCTGGCAGCTCCACTTCCCATCCAGCTCGCTGCTTGTGGCCTGGGAAAGCAGTCAAGGACAGCCCAAAGCTTTGGGACCCTGCACCGGTGTGAGAGACCCAAAAGAAGCTCCTGGCTCCTGCCTCTGGCTTCGGATTGGCTCAGCTCCAGCCGTTGCGGCCGCTTGGGGAGTGAATCATCGGATGGAAGATCTTCCTCTCTGTCTGCTCTCTGAATATCTGCCTTTCCAATAAAAATAAAATCTTTTTTTAAAAAAAGTAAGATAAGATAGCACCTCTTGACTCCTATACAGATCTCTGCCGCTGACTCGGCTGGAGTGGGCTCCTCTGCATATCTCAGTTAATTTCTTTGTCCTCAGTTCCTCCAAAGTAACTTTCTTTTTTTTTTTAAAGATTTATTTTTATTATGTTTTTATTGGAAAGGCAGATATACAGAGAGGAGAGACAGAGAGGAAGATCTTCCATCCGATGATTCACTCTCCAAGTGAGCGCAACGGCCGATACTATGCCGATCCGATGCCAGGAGCCTCTTCTGGGTCTCCCACGCGGGTGCAGGGTCCCAAGGCTTTGGGCCGTCCTCGACTGCTTTCCCGGGCCACAGGCAGGGATCTGGAAGGGAAGTGGGGCTGCCGGGATAGAACCTGCGCCCATATGGGATCCCAGGCGTGCAAGGCGAGGACTTAACCACTTGCGCCACCGCGCCGGGCCCCAAAGTAACTTTCTTAGGGAAACACACACACACTCAGATCAGCTTGCTCTTTCAGCATTTTTTTCACAGCTGTCTTCCATCACTTATTGGGTCATGTTTATTTTTTTCTCTTTTGCCCAAATGTATATTTACCTTTGATCTGTAAGAAATTGCCTCCTTGGAGGTGTCCAAAGATAGAGTATTGGCCATTTTATTTTCATGCAGTGCGGCTTTGTCCATTCCGGGTGTGTCTTGTGCCTGGCCTTTTCCTGTGCCTTGCCTGTGGTGAGAGCGCCATGTGCAGGGAGTGAATGACAGTTGAATGTCACCACTGGTGCAACCCCAGTCCTCGAACATTCCAGTTCCAGTCTCTGATCGCTTCTCCTTGACTATTTCTGGAGCTTTCCAAGCTCATTGTGCCCTAGAGTCTTCCTGACCCCGGACTGATGGGGTCTTCCTATTGCTGGATTCCTACAAGTCTGCCATCACCTCTGCTGTGTGCCAGCTCTACCAGGGTGTGGAGGTGACACAGCTGGAGATCCTGCCCACTGCGGCTGAGAAGGGATCAGCCAGCCCACTGACCTGGGACTCCTTGTCCATGGTGCTGGCCATGGGGGTTTGATGACTCAGCGGTCTGCCTCTCCAGGGGAAGGGAGCCACTCTCTC